GTCTATGGTTGCATTAGTAATGATAGGATATGAGTTTTAAGAGCATTTAAAGCATTTATCTTGAATTTATTTGAAAGAGTTGCCTTTGGAGATTCCCCTAAATAATATAAGCTGGTTAATAGGGTTTTTTTTCTTTAAACATTGCATTAAAAATTGTTAAAACATAAAGTGTTGTTTATATGACCTTTTTAAATTACACGAAATTTGCATATTTCAGAATGAGCTACACGCTTTTAAAGCGTGAAGTCGCGATAGCTATTTTTGAAAATTGAGAAAGACAGAATATCAATCCTGGATCGATATTTCTAGTGTTTTGATGTCATTGCGCCGAGTTGTGTTAGTAAAAGTTCTGTTCATACTATACAGTGTTACTTGTTTGAAACATAACGGAAAGTCACATTGTAAAGTCTATGTTGAAGCTAAGTTGAATAAACTTTTAATGTTAAAGGATATCCTTAATTCCTTAATTTACTTTCATTCAAATAATTGTCAACCACCAAATCTAGTCTAGTCCAGAGTCATTTTACTTATCGAGTTAATCTTAAAAGTTTTATATTCAAATGTACACACACGTACACAATAATTCAAATTGGCATGTATATAATCTAATATTTATTCCACATGTAAAATGACTTTGCGCTAGCACAAAATCAAAATTCTGTGGTACACATATCTATGTAAACATGTCCTTCTTCAAAGCATCAGTAACTTAAACATCTTTCAATTTTTGCGGTGTAAAAAATTATCATTTCATCACGATGTACAATATTACCCTTGCTAGCCCGACTTCACGCTACGTTAGCGTCTAGTCTTTTTAGAAACGGCACAAATACTTCTATTTTCGCTTAGATAAAGAAAAAACTGGTTAGTAGGACTTTTTAAGCGGACATAAAAACGTKCTARTACTAYAACCACCATCATCCTTTGCTGCACAAAATAGCGTCGCCTACTACTATCATCTATTACAAAATCTAGTACAAAATAGTGACTAATTGTTAAGAACTATTTAGTTTTTATTTCAAGGATTAAATGAAATTGCTCTAAGATAAGATAAGAACTTAAGCTTTAAGCTTAATTAAGATACTGTAAGCTTAATTAAGTTTAAGCTTATATTATAACTTAAGCTAGTTGTAAAGAAGTACAGGTAAACTGTAAACTACTAATCACCCTGAGCAAAAGGCTTGTCTCTGTGAACTGAAAAAAGACAATTCCRCCATTATTATATTACCTGGTGAACCTGAAAAGTCTTGCAAGTATAACACTTCAGAACGTTAAACTCTTGAACCATATTAAATTCCAACTGMCGTGGGTTAGTAGTGTTGCTGTTTGTTAATGTATCCCATATTTTCTCAACCACAGGAAGCCCCTTCGCTTACATGGGGTCCCTGTGTTTATCTTGAAGATATCGACTTGAACTTGAGGTAGGTGTGTTTTTTATCTTTATTTTTCTCACGTTTGCTTTTGTAAGTGCCGGTGAAGTTGTAAGAGTTGAACTAAGATTATATGAAGTTTGACTATACATGTAAGCTTATGTACAACAGTAAGTTAATGTAAAATGCAATTTCCTGTCATCTGTACTTAGGTAGTTAAGCTTAATAGCTGTATGTTCATTGGTATGCGTGTTCCTGCGTGTTTGAGTTGACTGTTTGTGTTGCTGTACTTCTCTCAAGCCAATTWTACGMAGCGGGATTCGCTAATTGAACGAGAGACACAAGTMTTCTATTTGGACTTCATGTTTGTTCATGTTTGTGTTGGACCTCGAGTTACTTTAGGAGCTGAACAAAAAATTTATCCTAGTGACCCCTCATAATTTATATGGGTGGGGTGGGGTGGGGGGGATTTTCTTTTTGCAAAAAATCCAAAATTTCTCTCTGGCCCACCCCCAGGAGTATAACATTTCATTTGTGACCCATCCCATATCATTATTATTGGGCTTGGATGTATGTATATACCTTTGCCTGAACRTCTTACATTTATTAGTATTACAGATTACAGTATAAGTGTAACTAAGTTACTAGTTGTCTGGTAAAAAGAAAGAAATCAAAGCTACTGTTATGTCAGATGCCATTAAAAATAGTACTTCGAATTTTATTACATGTATAAATTCAAATATATATATGATATMAAAGAGGCAAGATTTTGCTGTAACTCYGAGTTTCGTGCTACGCACTCATCAGACAGTATTTAATGGCATTATTATTTATTTACAGCAAAATCTTGCCTCTTTGATATCATATATATAACTAGCTCTACACTTTATGTGTATTGAGCACTCTTTAATGGGATCAGCTACTTCCTCATACAATTAAATTCAAATATATTTATTTATATTATTTTATTAAATACATCTTSAGTGTTACTAAAAGATTGTGAAATTTGAACTGCCATCTATAGTGTGCATTTCACCAAACAGAAAGTGGCCTACCCTCCACAAACAAAATTATTTTTTGACCCACCCCCATTGTTTTAGAAATTTAAACCAGCCCCCCAACCCCTTTGATGTCTAACCCCATAGTGTAAACACTAAGTATATGCATGCCAATGGTATGAAATTCAGGCCTGGCCTATAGTAGCAAGAACTTGCTTCTGATTAATAAAATTTAGTAATGTTTTTAAGAACTAGAGTAGACCCTGTATGCAGGGTTGACACRTGCACTTATGATGTTGTAAAATCATTAGTAAATGAGGCCTTAATCAAGCCTTGTGGTCCATATGGACTCTGAAATCCCGATTAAGCATTGACATTTAGCATTTTCAAAAAACAATTAAATATTGCTTGTTACCTAAAAAACCCATACAGAAATATATGATTTGATCCTTCGAGCCTTGCCAAGATATATGTGATTTGTGAAGTATCCACTATTTTGAGTCTGGAGTATAATTATTGTGAGGTCAGATATATAACTAGTTGGTTAATAGAGCAGAATCACTTGAACCATGCAATATATAGAAACTACAAAGTACTAACTAATAGAACTATTAGTTCCTAATAGTCGTTATCACTCAACCTTTAATAAGTTTACAATCCCGAGGGTTACTCCCCCCCCCAATTTGCATATCAAACTTATTGCCATACATTGTGTTGTATAATGGGATTCCTATGTAATCACGTGACATATAACACATGTAAGTTTGTAGTTTGGTCTCTAGTAAAGACTCTCGAACACATTCGTCGTTCCTCTTTTTTCATTATTTTACATGGTGGCAGCGAGTTTTTCGACCAAATCATGCCTGACACAGATAAAGCTACTCCTGGGCCGTCCAGTAATCATCAAACTTCGTATAATCTCCCTCCTCCGGAGAAATTTAGCGGTGCAAACTCACCACAACAAGCCGACCTTTGGCAGAAATGGTTTCGCCGATTTGAAAGGTATCGCATTGCTTCAGGCCTACAGAATAAACCGCAAATCGAGCAGGTTGGTACTMTTCTATASTCGATGGGGGATTGTGCCGATGATATCCTTACAACTCTCAATATWGATGAAGAAAAAGCTTCCTATGACGAAGTAAAAACCGCTCTAAACAACTACTACGAGATTCGTCGCAACGTACTCGTCGAACGTGBCAAATTCAACAAAAGAATCCAAAAACCTGGAGAATCAATCGACTCTTTTATACAGGATCTCTACAGGATCGCTGAGGACTGTGAGTATGGAACTTTAAAAAATGAACTTATTCGTGATAGAATAATTGTGGGAGTGCTAGACGATGCACTTTCAGACAGACTTCAGACCAAAACAAAACTCACTCTAGAAGAAGCAGTTCAAATGAGCCGACAATCGGAAGCTCGAATACAAAGTAAAGAAGTCGTTCGAGGTGCACAGTCAAGCACTAGTACTGTAAACTTTGTCAAACGTTCTACTCAAAGCAGCACTCCAAAACCCAAACATGACACAAGTAAACATGCTCAAGCCGGTCCATCATGCCCTTGGTGTGGTAGTCGTCAACGTCATGACAGAAAAAAATGTCCCGCTAGAAATGCAGCTTGTTTGAAATGCAAGAAAAGAGGTCATTATCAGAATGTCTGCCGGGCACATACACAAGGAAATAAACCTAATTTGCATGAAGTTGAAGTAGATGACTCTGACATTCCCTTTCTAGGAGAAATCCAGGGGGGAGGGGATAGTTGGACTGTGCAAGTAGGCATAAATAACCATGTCACACGCTGTAAGCTTGACACTGGTGCTTCTGTCTCCGTTGTTAGTGATTCACTCACATGGCTTAAAAATCAACCATTGAATCCAGAGCAACAAACACTCATGGGACCAGGGGGGACTCGCCTCCCAGTCACTGGATCATTTATTGCTACTATTTCGTACAGACGACGCAAAATTGAAGAGAAAATCTACGTCATCAAGAATCAATCATGCTCTCTCCTCAGTAGAGCAGCTTGTGTTAATCTAGGCCTTATTCAGCGGCTTGACACACCTGTTGATGAAGTCACTGCTACAACTCCAAACTTCAGAGCTGAATTTCCTCAACTGTTCACTGGTCTGGGGAAAATGGAAACAGAATGTCACATAACATTATGTGATGATGTTAAGCCATCCTGTCTATACACATCTCGAGGGATTGCCCATCCTATACTTCCAAAGGTTAAAGCAGAAATAGAGAGTATGCTTAAACTTGGTGTAATATCTCCTGTGACATGCCCAACCCAATGGTGTTCAGGTATGGTAGCTGTACCAAAACCTAATGGTAGATACAGAATCTGTGTGGATTTAACTCGCCTAAACAAAGCTGTCCAACGTGAAATCCATCCAATGCCCTCTGTCGATGAAAGCTTAGCCAAACTGGGACAGGGAAAACTGTTCAGCAAACTCGATGCTAATAGTGGTTTTTGGCAGTTACCACTTGACGAAGAGTCTAAACTGCTGACAACCTTTATAACGCCCTTTGGTCGCTTCTGTTTCAATCGTCTCCCATTCGGGATTAGTTCAGCTCCCGAAATCTTCCAGCGAGTGATGTCCAACACACTAGAAGGACTCGAAGGTGTCATCTGTCAACTCGATGATGTACTTATTCATGGAGCTAATCAGGCAGAACACGATGCTAGAGTGAGAGCTGTCTTGACTCGCATACAAGCAGCTGGCCTCACCTTAAACGATAAATGTGAATTCTCAAAGAAGTCTATCAAATTCCTTGGTCACATCATTGACAGCGATGGAGTTCATGCTGACCCGGGTAAGACTTCAGCCATATCTAAATTCCCAACACCATCAAATGTCACTGAATTGCAAAGATTCATGGGAATGGTAAATCATCTTGGCAAGTTTGTACCAGATCTGTCCAGTACTAACGAGCCACTCCGACAACTATTACATAAAGATTCAGCATGGACCTGGGGAGTTGACCAAGAGAAAGCCTTCCAAAGAATAAAAGAACTTCTCCAGTCCCCGACTGTACTCGCTCACTACAATCCTACCCGTCCAACCACCATTGCTGCAGATGCCTCAGCAACAGGTATCGGTGCTGTGCTACTCCAGACACAACAAGATGGACATCGCAGACCAATCTGTTTTGCTTCCCGCTCTCTTAGCGAAACTGAGCAGCGTTATGCAGTAATCGAGAAAGAAGCACTTGCCACTACATGGTCCTGCGAGAAGTTTGCCCAGTATGTTACTGGTCTCCGATTTACTGTGGAAACTGACCACAAACCACTCACTACACTCTTGAACTCAAAGGAACTTGCAAAAATGCCTGCACGCATACAACGGTTTCGACTTCGCCTCATGCGATTCAACCCTCATGTTGTCTATGTACCAGGAAAGAATCAAGTAACCGCTGATGCTTTGTCACGGGCACCTTTCGACCAAGCAGATCTATCAGATGATGAACTATCTAAGGAAGTAGAACTATTTGCAATTAACACTATTAACATTCTACCAGCCACTCCAAACAATCTAAAACAAATCAGTGAAGCACAAAAAGCTGACGAAGAATGCTCACTTATCAGGGAATACTGCATGGGAGGATGGCCTGCCTACATGCCTCATAGCCCTATACTACGCCCCTACTGGGAAGGAAAAGCACACTTATCGGTTGTCGACGACTTACTACTATATGATGATCGTCTAGTTATCCCTCGAAGCAAAAGAATGGAAATCCTCGAAAAAATACACACTGGTCATCTTGGAATTACCAAATGTCGTTCACGTGCATCTCAATCTGTCTGGTGGCCTGGTGTACACAACAGCATCGAGGAAATGGTCTCTAGGTGCAATACTTGTGCCAAGCATCGACCAATGCAGAGAGAACCTCTCTTAACTTCCTCATTCCCATCACGTCCCTGGGAGAAGATCGGAGCTGACCTATTTGATCTCAATGGTAAAACTTTCATAGCTATTGTTGACTACTACTCACGATGGCTGGAAATCAAGAAAGTTCTCAATGAAACATCTGAGAGCATTATACAGATTCTAAAGGACGTATTTTCAACACATGGTATTCCTGACATGATGATTTCAGATAATGGTCCTCAGTTTGCAGCAGAGACATTTCGCAACTTTGCTAAGGACTATGGGTTCCTACACGTCACTAGCTCACCGAAGTATCCACAGGCTAATGGGGAGTCTGAAAGAGCTGTAGACACAGCAAAAAGATTGCTAAAGAAGAATGTCGACCCGAACCTTGCTCTTCTAACATACAGATCTACACCACTTCAGAATGGTCTATCGCCCTCTGAACTACTGATGGGTCGCAGACTGAAGACACAGTTGCCTGTACTTCCAAGCACATTAAAGCCAAAAGCTCAGGATCTCCAAACAGTCAAACAGAAGGAAGACTACTATAGAAGTAAGCAACAAGAAAACTTCAATCAACACTACAGAGCAAGAAATCTACCTCACTTACAAGAAGGAGACAAAGTATGGATAAGAGATCAAAACAAAGAAGCTGAAGTTGTCTCAAAGACCCAACATCCTAGGTCTTACCTAGTTAAAACAGAGAAAGGTGTCTTACGTCGTAACCGTTCAGCACTGGTGACTCTAAGTACTTCTACTGATCAGCCGTCTCCTGAACCTGAACAGTCTCCTGAGCCTCAACAACCGAAACCTCAACAACCAACAGACCCAACTTTGACTACTACTCGTCAAGCCTCGACTGACATTGCAACTTCACAACCAGTAGTTACACGCACTGGCAGGGTTGTTAAACCGCCAAACCGTTTAGACTTGTAGACTTTATTTTGTTATATTATCATCGTTAAAGTTGTAAACAATCTTGCAGGGGGATGTTGTATAATGGGATTCTTATGTAATCACGTGACATATAACACATGTAAGTTTGTAGTTTGGTCTCTAGTAAAGACTCTCGAACACATTCGTCGTTCCTCTTTTTTCATTATTTTACACATTGGGTG